TGGTATACAGGGTGACTCACAGAAACAAACAAACAAACAACAACAACAACAACAAACAAACAACAACAAAAACAACAGTACTTGCTCACAATTTGTCAGGAGACACCAAAGAGGCAAGGAGTTGGGCACGTGTTTGTATAACTGCTGAATTCTGGGTAAGGCCATGGTGGACTAATCAGATGCTGTGCCTCTTTCCTGAGTCAGGACACTCTTTTTCAGCTGTCAAAGTTCTGTTTCTTGACATTGGCCTAATGACATCTGGCACGGATAATACCAAATGAGGAGAGCAATACAGAATAAATAACAGTAATAAGATTGAGCCTGTATATCTGTAGAGAAATTTCTGCTTGTAGGTGTCTGTATTATACTCATTGCATGCTGTTAGAGTTTCCCTCCTAGGGGGAGCGTGGTCCTACATATAAAGATTTCTTGCTTGAGTAGAGATTATGTCATTGGTCCCTACATCTGTCTGAAACCTGGCATTCCTGATATGCAGCATTGTATAGCTTTATGCTTCATTTTCAAACTATGTGAGTTCACACCCCTCGAGCATTATTTTAAGTTTGGTTTCAGAGGGGCTGCAAATGAAACCCATTTGAATCTGCCAAGTTTCATCAAGTATTGTGTCAAGCTTACAAAATTTTGCATGATTTTGATGCATAACCATAAATCAGCCCAGGTGTGCTGAAAATGTCTGTAAGTTTTAGCTTGCCTTTTGATGAACTTGGTTTGACATTTGATTTTGTAAGAAAATACAGCACTAGGGAACTTTGCAGTGTTTAATTGTGGATGTCACATACAGCTCTCACAGTAGTGTAGACTAGGGACATAAGTGACCTGTCATTAAATGGTAACTGATCTGCTGGCAGTTCAGTGTCTGGAGTGTGCTGCCTTCTCCCTAAAGATTTAGTGAAAAAATATCTCAGCGTATAAAGTTTTCCCGAAGTTCAGAAACATTTAATTTGACTAGAGAATGTTTAATACTTTTCAAAACTTTTTTTTTTAAATTTTTTTCCCCAGCTGTGTGAACCAGAGGTAAACATATAATTGATTTATTTTTTAGAGTGTTAAGAAAATATGTTTCCCATAAAGGGAGCTTTCTGGCAACAGAAATACTTCTGAAGCTGAATTACAATGTTTGCTTGCATCTATGTTGTCAAGACTAGGGTGCAGTAACTTTTTCCAGCATGAACTTGTAGCTCCAAATGAAGTAGTGTACGTTAATGTACATTAGTAAAGAGGAAATAGGGTAAATTAGATAAGATAGGGATACAGAATTCTGCTGACTTTTTTTTTTTTTTTTCAGGTTAAGGAAGAATGTTTTGAAACACATTTGAAAGTTAGAGTGAGATACTTTTTTTGAGCTGCTAAAGCACAAAAGAAGCTCAGTTATTTTAAAATGCAGAATATGCTTTCTATTTTTGCTCTCATAGTTCAATTGCTTTCAGGTTGCTTTCCCGGCTTTGTACAAACTTAATCTATAGCCTTTCACATGTGTAAGGAGCAGAAAAGAAGACCACCCTATTAAAAAAGAACATGGAAGAGTTAACTCTTTCACAATGAAATTTTAAATTATCCTTTCAATAATGTTACAGAAACCGTGAAGCATGAGTGTGTGGCATTGTTCAATAGCTGTTGAAGTATGCTGAGATGAACATGTTATTATAGGTTGTAGTGTGCACTCAGTAGGTGTATGATTCTGAATGCCTTTATTAGAATTAATCAGTAGTTTACAAAGAGGAGATGAAATTGAAGGTCTAAAAACAAATACTGTTTACTGATGACTCACTGAAGGAGAGACAGAATGCTATAGCATAATCAAGTGAATACTATTGTAGACAGCTGAGGGTTTGGTTTGAGGTAGTAATTGGTATTTGTGAGCTGCTGTGTGTGATCTGATTGGGTGTTATCCAGCCACAGTTTGGTGGCACTGCACTTTGCTGTGGTGCACAGGGGGAGCTTCCAAGCCCCTCATGTGACTTCAGCCAGCCATGAGTCAGGATGTTTTTCTTCTGTGCTACGATAAAACCTTCAGTTAAAGAACAGGGTGGATGTTCTTAAGGGCAGGCAGGCAAATTACATTTCTCAGTGTCGCCCACTGCAAGTCAGAGCTTTTAGAGTATTAATGTTTGATGATAAGTAACATCAAGGTAGAGTAGTTGTGAAGAAAGTAAAAATAGCATTCAGTTAGGGAAGAGGTTTTATTTCAAATCTGCCTCTAAATTAAACAGAAGAACAACTTCCCCTGAAAGTGTAGAACTAGTCACTGTACTTTTTTCTTTCTTACTGCGATGAAATAGTTGCACAAGCTTGACTTAAAATAGTCTTGTTAAGCAAGTAAGGAAGCATAAGGGAACCTACTCATGGTAAATTACATCTGTCCATTCTTTCTGCAAGGATTTTCAAATGTATGAAATATTCTTTACTGTCATATTCTGGACTGAGAGTATTTTAACAAATGTATTGCATAGCAGCTATTGTTCTGAGCTAGTTACAATTAACTGGATAACCCAATGTTCTGCATTCCTACCTGAAGTGCAATTATGGACAGCTGATGGTTCTTTTTGGTTCTTTCAGTTAGTGAGAAGGTGGCATCTTAAATCATTTACCACATTCACCATAAAGAGACTGCAACCATCTCAGAGTAAAGTATGCTTGTGTCTGTCTGCCCCCCCCCCCCCTTCTTTTTTTTTTTTGTTTTTTTTTTAACTTTTAAGGGACATAATAAGAGAAAGATAGAAAAGACTATACATTTATGTTGCTTCTTCCTTCCAGATCTTTTTTTTTTTCTTTTTTTTTTTTTTAGATTCTGTGATTATGTTCAGATCTTTTTTTGGTGTAAGCTGTGTTGGTAGCTTCACTGACTTCAGCAGAGCTGAACTGTTTTACACTAGCTGAGGTTTACCACAGAATGCAATACACTAATATATTTTTATGTGACACTGTAAGTTGTATCAGAGTTCTGTAGCTCCTCCACTGTAGTGGGAGGTTCTGGGTAAATGTTTTTATGATTAAAATTGCGATGTCAGATTTCGATGTGTAATGACTGTGTTTAAGTAATGGATCTGGGTTATGGTGGTGTATGTCAGAACTCTTCCAATAGCTTAATCTTCAGGTAGTGCAACTGGTTTCTCGGTTCATTTTCTTTTACTTTTCTGAGTCCCTTTTCCCTGTGTTTGTCAGTTTCCCCTATTCCAGCTCATTTGTGTTTTTCCTATCGCTGTCTCACCAGGGTTCTTAGTGGTTGAACACTGAAGACAGGATGAAGAAACTATCTTTGTTGACTCTTGAATAGCTGCATTTTAGTGTGATAAGATCCAAGGGACAGAGAAGATGATAATTAAATAATGAGCTGTTCTTTGGGTCAGGTTCAGATGCATCAAGTTCATCCACATGCAGGACTCTTGGGTGGGATAGTCTTTAATAAACTACTTTGGTTGGCAAAATACGTGAATTTACCTACCAAAAAAAATTAAAAAAAAATTAATAAAGCCTAAGAGATCAGATTGCTTTTAAAATTCAAAGGGAGCATGTACTAAATTCAAAGTAAGTCATTGTCTTGTGATGGCTCTTACTCTTATCCTATGAAGATCTGCAGAGCTGTCAGTGTCATATGACGCAGGGGTAATGTGTTTTGTCCAGTGTCATGCACTGGCTTTTTACTGCTTTTCTTTTCTCAGGAGACGATGAATGCCAGTAGGTGAAATTTTTTTGCTTTTCCTGGCACTTGGAGAGAGTGTAGCCCAAGTCAACTTTGCAACTTGGAATTGGCCCAGCCCAGCTCTTTGGATTCTCAATCTTCTGTTGGGATATGCACACACTATTTTTTTTATGTACTAGTTGAAATACATTAGTTTTTTTTGTGGGAAAGCAATCCACTTTCCTTTCTATTTCACAAGAATTCTCTTTGAATGTGACAAATGCTTAGAGTGAAAACAAGTTTTATTCTAGCAAAGAAAACTCACACTTTTTAGGAAAACCTGTGGCTTGATTATTTCTGGATGCTTCTGAAAGTACAAGTGCATCTACGTTTGTGACTGGAGTTATCTATTGAAATGCATGGACTCTTTAGCAAGGTGATTTCTTGCATCAGGCTTACTTTTCAGCCCATAATGTTTAGCTGAATTGCAGTTTCTGCTTATTCCTTCTTCCAAGACAGCATGATTTCCACTGTGATTTTTTTTTTTTTCTTGCTGCAGTAGAGGTAACTGATTATATCATTCCCCGTGTAACTCTTAAATTTCCACTCCACAGGATGCCACTGATCATTTGTAGATCTCACATGGTAATGATGCAAAGGACCAACCTGCATCCCCACATCCTTTTGGGGCTTAGGCCCAAAACATACTCTTTTCATGTGAGTGGATTCACAGTGCTTTGTGCTGTGTATACAGTACATACATACATACATAGTACACAGCACTATGATAGTTTCTCTTCTCTTAAATTCCACTTACATATGTAGTTCCATGAAGTGCATCTTCCCTTGTCTTTTTTTTCCTATTGCTACACCTTGTAAGTAGAACTCAGACTGCTTTGGTGCTGAGAGAAAATCAGTTTAACAAGTAATTCGGCTAACAACATGAGAGCAGGGCAGTCCACCCCAAATGAAAGTGGGAGTAACTCCACTGCCACTATTAAGGCTGATCTGCTGTTGTAAAATCCATGATGTAGGGAAGCAGTGTCATGGAAAACAGTAGCACGGTAATGCAGCTTTTTTACCATGCCTTGAGGGTGACTTCCTTCCTCAGTGAGCAAAGTTTCATTTCCCCTGTGTAAAACTCAACTGTTTCTCCTTCAGCCCTGTCCCACAAAGTACTATTTAAATGATGGAGAAGATTTTAAGGATCACGTTTGCATTGCAGATGCTCCAGCTAGAACTTAGTGTCAGTTTTGACAGGGGAGCCACTGCTGCCACATTTCAAGCTTCAGTGCTTGCCCCCTGAACAATCAAAGCCATGGAAGAAACCATTTTCATACTTGCCTTGCTTTTTCAACAGTTACATTGCAAACCAGCAAAAATTAGAAAGCATCAATGACAATGAAGTTGGATTTTACATCGGACTTAAAAATCTGTAAGTACATGGAATAAATATTTTAAAAGGCTATTTCTTTATTTCTCTGACAGAAGAGTGTAGAGACCCCCTCAGAGAGTGGGTCTGACTTTGTTACAAAGGACAATAGTAGACATTACAGTTCATCCATGTAGAGATTTCATCCACATTCTTATTTTTGCTATTATTGTCATTATTCTTACTAATGTATTGTAAACAAACTGTTCTAACAGTTTTATCTATTTTTACAGGACTGTGGTGAATTCAGGCTTACGGTTTGTGTCCCGTCAGGCATTTGCGAAAAACGTCAACCTACAATACATGTGAGTAAGGAGAGCATCTACATTTTAAATCAAAATTGCCCAACTCCTGTTATTTTTTTCTCTCTTTTACCATTTCCTTAATATAAAATGTTTTAACAAAACAGACTTCTGTCATTAATCAACCTCAAATAGGGTATGTATGATAAGGAACTGGCAGAGCATTCAACATGTATGATAAGGAACTGGCAGATCACAAGAACATAATGTGGGCTGGTAAAAAACTGTCTAGCTCATTATCTTGTCACTGACAAAGGTCTCTGGCTGTGTCTTTTTCAGAGAGCAGCATAGCAGTATCTCTCCCAGCTGAACGGAACTGGTGCTGAGGGCATGATGTCCACATTATATGCATCACACTTAGTGATGTGGGTTTGACCGGTTTTAGTCTGATTCAATGGGCTGAATGTGTTCTATGTTTTAGCAACTGCAGTGCAATAAGTGCATGCATAGGGCATATCTTCTAGTGTGACTTGATCAGTGTTCATGCTCAGAGACTGTGTGCTTAAGTCCTGTAAGTGACGATGATCAGAAGATTCACTTCAGAAGTTCAGTCATGATCTGAACAAGTACATCTGAAGCAGAATGTAAGAATGAGGTTACTTCCACAGCCAGCTGCAATTTGCAGTTCAGGAAACAGGGCTGGTGTCTGTGCAGCTTTTCAACTGTGTTTTTCTTGTTTATTTATACTTGAGATTTAGCAAAGGCTGAATTCATCTTTTTTTTTTTTTTTTTTTTTTTTTTTTTAATATATAAAACTGCAGAGAAAAATGATCACCTAAAAAGAAAGATTTTTTTTTTTTGGTCTTTGTATTTGCATGTAAGTAGATGTCCCTGAAGGACTGTAGTTCTGTTTGATGAGACAGACACAGAGTAGTTCACTTTGCTACTTACATTTTGTGGATCTGGTCCTACAAAATATTGAGATAATGTGTGGGAGTCGGTTCCTCATGGGTTATGTGTTTTAGCCAAATATGCGAGTGTATATTTCAGTCCATCCATCTTCGTTAGATATGTTTACCAGTTACTTAAACCTTTGTTTTTGTTAGGTCCTAATGAGATCAAGAAGATGTAAGGCTTCCAAGATGCTTCCTTGTTATACGGAAGGACTTTTGAACTGAACTCAGGGCTTTGTTAATAAAATAGAATCACCTTCTGCACCTGCGTTTTCGAAAGAATAGCAGTTAATTTATGGAAGGAGGTGGATGTGAATATCTGTATCTGCCTAAACAGTAATTGCTGCCCTTAATGTGGAACAGTCACTAGAAGAGCATGAAACAGACCTTGCTGGCCTATGAGGCTTACATATTACTTCATAGAGTCATGAATAAAGTAAATAGCTTTTACTGTAATCATTTGGAGATATAAAGAAATATCTTCCAGGAGCAAATTCGTTTGTCTAGTGTGACAATTACTCAGTGAGTTATGATTGTAGAAGATAAAATTCTGTAAAGCCAAGTGCACGTGCACTGACTGAGGAAATACGGAATGAAAACTTACTGGCCAAGACGTACAGCTGCGGACAAAGGTTTAGTGGCTATGCTGGGACAGAATCATAGCCTTATGCACCAGAACAGTCTAGGATCAAAAGGAATTTTTCGTTAGATTTTTCACATTACTTTAGCTGCTGGGAAGACATGTATCCAAATACAGTGTAGAGATTAGGACACCAGATCTACCCATCTAGGAAGATATTACAGGGAAGAGCAGCAGAGGACTTTGTAAAGCAAATCATTTAAGGAAACTAAGAGAGTATGTTCAGTACAATAAGAGAAGATTGTAAGGGAATATACATCTTCATATCTTTAAAAGAAGAGTGATTATGATGAACAGAACAATTGGTTTGCTCCATGACCATGAGTGTAGGATGATAAATAATGAGTTTAATTTGCAACAAGGGAGATGGATGTTTCGGAGACCTTCCCAGCTGTATGAGAAAGTAGGAACTACAAAAGGTAATGGAGAAGCCATGTGAACAAGGTGTCTTTACAATGCTTTGGATACAGGAAGAGCTTCAGCTCTTCACACAGGCAAACATGGAATGTATTTCTGTTGGTAATCAGGATTTATTAGATCTGTAGTTCATAGAACTGACCGTTGGAAACAAATTAGGCTGACTGATATCAGTTAGATCGATGTATGTGGTATCCTGATTCAGGAACTTTCCTGAACCAGGAACTTATTCAGTCTCATATTATTCTCTGTTTTGGTGGGAAATTAGTAATATTAGCAGAAACAGGATAAGTCCTGATAAGATGGAAAATATTAAGTGACAACACCGTGGGATTTCTTTACCACCTCCTTTATATATACGTGACAAAGCAGTAAGTGTGCAGACATTTTTTATTGAGGCAGATCTATTATCCCTGCAAAAAAAAAACAACATTAGTTTATTTTCTCTGGGATGTCTTGATGCTTTGTTTAGTGTTTTAGTGTTGATGCTGTGTTTAGTGTTTTAGAAACACTAAAATGTTTCTAAAAACCCCAGAGAATCAGTGCTTGTTGTCATCAGCATTAAAACTTCTGTTGACAGCATGGAGAATGAGGTGTAGCCCCCATTTTGGTTTGGACAGTGAAGACTATTAAGATATGCAAGCATTTTATTTTACAAGAGTAACCTGTACAGGTCTTTGAGAAGTCTTGCACCTTATTTTAAAACAGTAGTATGTTATTTCCTATAATGAAAACAAAAACTACAAACATTTTCCTAAAGAGAGACATAGCTCTATAAACTTTTATTTTGCTGGTGACACTATTGCAGTTTTCTCTTTCTTACATGAAAAGTCTTTTGATATAGCTAAGGAGCTTTGTGATATAAATGTACCATTTATATTGTGATGCATATAAAAATATCAGATGGTTAGGAACTTATTAACACACATTTCCCTAAGCCCTTTTTTGTCATTATATTATTTTCTTGGCCAAACTTCTGTAGCCCAAATATCTTTCTAGAGTTATGTATGATGAGAAGACTTGAGTTATAATATAAAAAACAGGAAGAGAATGCTTTAATAGGTGTTAGTTAAATGGAATTAATAGTTTTGCTCATCTAATTCTGGTATTCTCATTGACCTCAGACTCAAATTAGTCAACAGTCACATTTAACAAGCTATTAAACAGTCCTAGTTTGGTAGTGTAGTAATTTATAAGTTTATCTGCTGCTAACAGTAATTTTAATGGACTTGTGTAATACATATACATGGTATTCTGTCAGTGCCTTTAAAACATAAAAATAGATTTCACAGAAAGTGTCTTTTTCCTAAAATATTAGAAAAGAGCAATAATTACATGCCAGACTGTGTGTAATTGCATTGATGAATCATACATTTGTGTGCAATGTATACATACATCTCTAGGTGTTAAGATGTGTTTCTATGTCTGTAAAGTTTAGGAAAAGCAGACAAATGAAACCATTTGAGACCTAGCTGCAGATTTTCCCAAGTGTGTACAAAGGGCTGGCTCCAGCTGTAGGCAGATCGTGCTGCTGCCTGTGGAGGGAGACTGAGTGTAGCAGAATGGCCATTTCTTCACCTTTTCTCCCTGGTTTTCCTTTTATCTGTTCCCTCTCCTTCTTGTCTCATCTTGCCAGGAGTGTTATAGGCAGTATAGTGGCTCAATGACATTGCAATGAAGATCTACACAAGTGTTGCCAGCTGTGTGGATATTTATGCAGCTTCTCAGGCTGCTCTTGCATTGCCTGCATTGCCAAAACATTCCTTTAATTGTATAATGGCTAGCTAGTCTGAAGTGAGCTTGATATTTGTATGTAAAATACAGTTGTGCTTTTGACTGAACTCTGGTCCTGTTCTTAGGTGTAGCCAGATTCCTCACTCCAGAGGACTTTTTTTTTTTTTTTTTTGAGTCTTTGGAACCCCAGACAGACCTTCTCTGCTCATGATGCTCTTTTTGTGTGTAGTTGAATTGGGGAACTAATTTATATTCTCCTTCCATGGAAGTGGAAGTTAAGTCCTTAACTACCCCATAAGCCTGGTACTGATTTTTTTACTTAACATGAATTAAAGAGGCCATAGAAGGTATCTTTATAATCAATTTAAAGTGCTCAGATTATAAAAAAAGAACGAACCCTAAAACAGTAAATTTACTGTCAAAGCGTTATTTAAAATGCTAAAGCTATAGTGGTGTCTGAACAATTTCTGTTGAATTACTTCTGTTGACATTACTTGTCAATTTAAGACACTAAACTACATGGAAGAAAAGACTACAGTCTTGGAATTACTAAATGTATTAATCCATGACCAAGAATATAGGCACAAGGTTTACTTTTGTTACTCTTTCTTCTGCTTCTTACATTTTTTTTTTTTCTTTCTGGTATCTATCAAGTACAACTGGTAGAAGTCCGAAAATACAGTTAAAGCTATTGAGATACATTTTTTTTTTTTACAAAACTGGATTTGTTAAACAGTTTGTACAACATGAAAGGGCTTCAGCTAGATAGAGATTTTCCTGAGGAATCCATTTTATGATGGCTTCTTGGTATGGATGTACAGGGATGTTTTGTGTGAACCCAGAGTCAAACCTGGTCCTCATGTGACCTGGAATATACTGCTTCCCACTAAAATAGTGAACTGCCAGTGCACCTGCCTGTTGGAAAGGCATGTGCTGCTTAGAAGTGCCAGAACTAGAAGGGTTTTCCTGCATGGTGAGTGAAGAGCTGCCCATGGAATGGTGAGATTTAATGTGGTTCATGTTGCCTCAGTGCTAGAGAGGAAGCCCAAGGCCACATGAAGATTTAACTTTTTTCTTCCAGCCTCAAAACTTAATGTTTCTGCTTATTAGGGAAAAGATCACAGTGACATTTTTTACTTAAACATGACTTCTGTAATATGTGCAAATTGTATGTTAATTTTGATATACTTGATAAGGGTCTACCTGCATCTGCCATAGGACAGGTAAATTCGCATGACAAAGAAATAATAGCTCATCTATTTTGTTGTCCAACATTAGAACCACACAATTTGTAAACTTCAGGCTGTTGTTTTCTAGAAGGAATCAACAAAGAAGTATCGTAAATAAAATCTCACAAAAATTCTCTTCTGAATGTTTGTTGAACATTCTACAAACATTCTTGTGTCCTTGTAATTTCTCAAAAAATCTTGTACTCAGAAATTGAGGACTGAAAGTTTGGGAAGTAAACACCGTGTTAGGGAAAAAAAAAAAGAAAAAAAAAAAAAAAAAAAAGGTCTAATCTTTGGTTTTAAATGTAACACAACTATAGCTATGGAGCCCCTATGGCGCCTTTATAATACCACATAAAACTCATGTGGTATTTTGGCTCAGAACACTGATTTACACTGCAGTGCTGGCAGTTTTACAGCTTACTGCTCTTACTGTCTTTAATTGATGGACTGATAAGACTATAGAAAAACAACATTATTTTGGGTTGGGGTGGAGAAAGCAATTTTGTAAGCCTGGGAGGGGAGGAGTATTTCTGATTCAGATGAACATTTCTTTGCGTAATGGGAGAGGACCTTTCACTTAATTACCACTGGAAACCGTAAGTGCTTAATTGACATAAAAAAAGCCCAATATAGGCATTTTACAGTTTTCCTTTTGATCTTCCATGTGGGTGCATATTGTACATGCAATTTGAAAAGAATAACTAAAAGGCTCAGATGTGGATGTGTGCTAGCATGTGAGAAGGGCTTATGTGAGTACAGAGTATGGTGCAGCATCAAAGAAAGGGATACACCCATTTCACTTATGAATAAATTGAGCATGTAATTAACACCTGGACTCGACAAAATACTTTTCAAACACAATTAAATCTGCTGCTTTTCTGCAATGAACAGAAATGCTAAAAGTGAAATATTGACCCCTGCTGACTTTGAGTTTGAATGTATTGACTTCAGATACAGACTAAATTCAAGTGCTTGAAACCAATCAAACCATAGAGACCTAGCACCATTTCTTTCCAACTGTACTCAAAGAAGTGAGGGGTTTTTAGAGCTGGTTTGAGCTCTTGGTCATTTAAAGCAACACAAATTCCAGTTTAAGAAGAAGCAGTCCCAATTAATGCAATCTTTCTCTTTTCCTGTAGCAATTTATCCAGAAACAAGCTCTCAAGTTTGTCCAAGAAGCCTTTTCGCCATCTGGGTTTGTCTGATCTGTAAGTCACCGTTTCTTAAAATAAAGCTTATTTGTGGCTAGAATGAAAGAATAAGGCTTTGAAGTTTGCTCCGTTGAAGGTAGACGTCCATCAATGATTAGGAATGAAGTTTAGTTCCCAAAGAAAGCAGTAATGCCAGAGACCTAAATACAGAGAGATTCATTCCAGGTCAGGTGTATGTTTTGAAACAAATTTGCAGGTTGAAGTAACCTCTTCCTGTCATCTTTAAAATACTTATATTATGAAATTGCTTCACACAAAATGACTGGTGTTTGTATTAAATATTTAAGCTAGTAAAAACACTACTATCTCCAAATCTCCAAATGAAGTCTCTGTCTTAAACTCTTCTATTGTATTGGCCCTACAGCTGCTATCATTTCGGTAGACTATTGAAGAATATTTTTACTTTTACTTTGAGTTACATTGTACCTTCTAAATTCATTTGCTAATGAAGCATTGACAAACATAGTTTTTGATAGTTTCAAAATTATATTTTTATTCTCTGCTTTTTCAAGCAGATATTCTGTAAAGGTGTACATTCCATAATTTTGTACTTAAAGGATAAAAAAATGAGAGAAAAGGATGTAATGCCGATATGGCAGGTATTTTTGTGTTTGTCTCTTTTTTTAAATTTGGGGATTGCAGAAAAGTTAAAGTCTGCAAATGACTTTGCAACTGGGGGTATTGACACAGATTGTAAGGAAGGCAGAAACTGTCTTTTGTGTAATGGTTTGATTAATGGTTCTTCACAGTGATTTCTCAGAAAATTTAAAAGGCCTGGATTTGTGTTTCTTTGAAAAAAAAAAAAAAAAAGTCATCTTGTGCAATCTTTGCTAATACATGGTACTGCAGAGAGCATTCAGAAGCTTGGGCAGGGTTGGGGCTGTAGGACAGAGAGAGGCTGCTCTCCTGGAGCTCAAAGCAGGGTCAAGAATTTGCCTGAATGCCAGTCCAAGAATTGCAGCACCGGCCTAGGAATTCTGAACCTCTTCTGGTGGATTTCAGCCTGTAAGAAATGAAGTAAATCCTAGTGGATCAAACAGAGGTTATGCCCCTTAGGTATGTTTTGTTGATAATTAAATTGGTATAATCGCTTTCTTTACAGCCCAGAGAACATTGCTGGCTCGAATTTTCTTTCGTAACTTGGCTGTTGCTGAGTACACTGATGGAAAGACTAGGTAGTTGCAGAGCACTCCCAATGCTGTATGCCCTGCATAGGCCTGTTGCTGCTGAAGTCCCTTATCTAGTCTCTGCCAGAAGCCACTGTTAGTGTGTATTTGTCTGTAACTTGTATGTTTTTCAGTTGTCACGACCTCAAAGAAAAGGGATGAAAGACTTAGACTAGTGCTCAGTGTGCATTGATTAGGTTTTTCCTAATGGTTTTAATAAGCTAGTGAAGAAAAGGGGTCATCTTTGCCCCCCTGGTGTGTGGAACTGTAAGGGTGGGTACACTGTAGCTTAGGAAGTATGCAAAAAAGGAAGTGACTACAATTTTGAAGGCATACTCTGATCCCAGTCCAGGGTGCTTCCTTGGACTTAGTCTGCTGCCACTGTCAAGTTTATTCCAAAGCACAGATCAAACCATGCTTGAACCTCTCCATCTCAGCTGAATGGTTTCTTTTAGGTTGCCAGTATAGTGAGAGCTTGTAGATATTTTGAAGGAGAACAAAGTCAGTGTTGCTTTGTTCATAACTGTTAAGTGAGATGATGCAAGAAATGTAAGGGAAAGAAAATTGGGGGAAAAATTAGAGCATGAAAGTTGGAAAAGCAGTGGCAAGACTATTATCAGTTGAACTATTCTATTGATAAATAGATAATACACCGGTGGAAAGTCAGAATGAGGAGGGTTAAGAGCGTTGGAAAGGGAATCTGAGAAGGAATGATGCTATAAATAGCCACTGAGGAGCTGCCTCTAAATCTGAAAAACAAATATCCTGTTGTTAGCACACTTGTAAATCAAAACATAAATGGATGAAAAGTTCAGGCTAGGGTGAAGTAGGAGATATTCACCAGATACTGTAGAGAAGGAGATGCTGCTTTGAAAGGCTTCTTCTTTTAGAACAAGCTGTAGCTGCAGCTGTAAAATTACAGTAAACAAGATAAAGACATGTAATTTCCCTCTACTAGGTCAGATTCTTTCTTTCACACAAGCATGTGTAGAGGGCCATCATACTTCTATCCAGCATGCTGTCTATGATATGCCTAGCTCCTCTGATGGGTTTAGTACAAAATAAAACAGTGGAAGAAAAGGACTGCTCAGCCACTGGTTAAGGGAAATTTTTCTTTTAAAGAAAAGTTAAATGATGAAACAGAAGATGAGAAGTAAATCTTGTTTGGAAAATGTATATGGTAGGTTTTGGCTCAAGGGATCCTAATATTCATACTCTTGTGTTGTGCAAGCAACCCTTATCCACACAGTAGTGCTGTGAATACAAATTGCTCTTAAAAGTCTTGCAAGGATGATCCCTGCAGCTTTTTATCCTCAAAGAACTACAGATGGCTTTTGGGGCAACAGGTTACAGCTCTGAGAACCTGAGCTTTTCATGATTTGCACACTTCACATCCTCAGGGGATACCCTCCTGTCCAAGCACAGATACAGTGAACAACTTGAGGTCACTTCTGTACATCAAAAATACCTGTGAAATTCTGTTAAGAACAATTGTGCTCCTTGTAATGAGATACCTCAGTCACTCACAGAGACTTTATTGGATCTCATCTGTGAGATCACTGTGACTGTCATCTGTGATATGTGCATGTAGGAGAAAAAATCATACCAGGTCACTTCTGTAGTTATTGGGATGTTTCTGTTCATATTTCAGTTTGGCTGTATTGCATTACATTGTTGTGTAGAATTTAGCAAGTTTGATAACCAGTGGTTTAATTGCCATACAGCATACTTTATACCTACATTATTCTAAACATTTCTGTTTCAGGGACATTTTTCAGTTAGTGTTTCATCATAACATTTCTTAGGGTTTTTACTGTGGGTTTTTCTGGTGGTGTAATGGATGTACCTTTAAGGTTAGGTAAATGCCTTTGTTATGATTAGAGTTCTTTAAAGTTTGCCTCTAATACATGACTGAGTCTCTAAGGAATTTACCTACTTCACCTAAGAGCATTAAACCCTGTCTGACTAGGTCTTTCTGAGGTAGCTGAGCAGAGTGCCAACCGTAGAATCACTTTGGTTGAAAAAGACCTCTAAGTCAAAGAAATTCTGGTCTCTGCTTAAGTGTTATCAAATAAAATGGAACTTTTGATGGAAAGTCTAATTCACCATTTGCTTCTGATTTTCACCAGTGGATTGGAGATAGTAATTGAACCCCCTGTGTGATCTCTCAGATCTATGGCAGTCTGGATTCTCGGTGCAAGTAGGGCTTCATTCTCTGCAAGGAAACTGTTGCCTGCTTGAAGCTATCATTGCAGTGAGGTCTTTGGTCCTTACTTTTCTTAACTAAATAGTTCAATTTCTACTTTGACCCAGACGAGAGCTTTGAGTTGTCTTGCCCCTCAGTTTTTCTGCATGCATGATACATTCTGCTTTCTAAATATGTATATAAATATATATTATTATTATTATTTTTTTTTTTTCTGTAGGATATTGGTGGACAATCCATTCAAGTGTTCCTGTGAAATTATGTGGATCAAGAAATTTCAAGAGACCAAGTTTTACACAGAAACTCAGGATTTATATTGTTTAGACGACAACAACAAGAGGACAGCCTTGATGGATATGAAGGTCCCAAACTGCGGTAATATTCTTTTAACATAAATTTTCTGCTAAATTATTGTAAGACAGGAAAAACAAACTTCTTTTACAAAATAATATTCAGAATGATGACAGCACTACTAAAGGAAAAGGCTTTAGGGGAGTTATTAACCAGTCGGTGACTGTCTTTCATCCCATATGGAATATCTCTGGAAGCTTCACGTACCGTTTTTTTCCCCTTGATCCTTTAAAAATGTACTGTTATTCAAGTGCAGAAAAACAGAACATGAATTACAGATAACAGACAAGAATTATATAAAAAGTGTGTGCCTTTGTTAAACTAAATAGTAATGCTTTCAAACTGAACAGGCACAAAATTCTTCCTTGATTTTTTAAGCTATTTGAGGTTAATGAAATCTTTACGTTTCTTCAAAATCACAAACTCCTGTACTAGACAGTGGAGGAAAATTCAGAAAAACTGAGTGCTGACAGCAACAAATTAGGGAATAGCTCTGCTACAGAGATAAAAGTCTACTCAGTTCACTCGTATAACTTACGCAAAAGAGTCATTGCAAACTTAGGTCTGTAATATTTTGCAACATATTGTTTTCAGTTAGCTTATGTGGATTTTGAGATAGTGGGACAGGCCATCCCTGTGCTTTGCTTCCTGTATATGGGACAACTGGAAAGTGGTTTCACCCACCATATGAAGAGATACCTTTTCTACTGTGGGTGAGGGACAGAGTCTGGGTGTTTCTGACATGATACGGAACTTGCTGAAATCTGAAGTTTTTGCTTTCCACTATCCATTGAGCATCCTTTTCTTGATTGTGTATTTGGAGGGTGCAGCACCCTCTGATAGAAGCTGCCAGCAAGGAACAGCCATCGCAGAGACACGCTGCAGACCTTAACACATGCTGCCTTCAATGGTGGTAATGTGTATCATGGCCATATACCATTCCATTAATCTTGTGTCCTGCATCCTGATAGGGCCAGGTGTCTTGGCTTATTCAGGACAAAAATCATGATAGTGTCTGATGGGATTAAAAATAAACATGCAACTTGTTCAGGGGGTCTCGTGTGCTGCACAGTCTGCTTTACCTGAAATGGGAGATGATACCAACTCCAGCTAAATAGAACCAAGCCACAGCCTCAGTTGGATGGAGTAGAAGGTAGATTAATCTGCTGGATATAGAAAGGTCTCCTGGTGGATTGAAATCAATTGATATGAAATAGGAACCCCAGCATAGTCTTTCATAACATCATTGGCTGGCTAGAAGCTGCCAGGCAGATAGGATTTTTCTTTGAAAACTTTGGTGCTAAATACCCAGGATTAGGCCTATGAGACATTATTTCTTGCTCCTGGTTCTTGACCATCTGCAGTCATAATAGATTTGGGAGTGACCTGTTGATACTGTGTAGACATATGTGTGCACACGTGCTCATCATGAGGGCACATCTTGACTAAAATACCTGACATGAGAAGGAAATGTAGTACTTCCAAACAGAGGAGGAGAAAAAGAAGGAAATGTGAGAATATATGACATTCAGATGTGAAATTTGCATATAGCAAATTTTGCATACAGCTCAAGATTTGTATGGATATCCACAGAGGTCTGCAAATGAATCACACTATTGGCTTAATGTTGTTTTACAGTGTGTGAATTTCGCTAGATCTTATACACCTGTATTTTTCCTTTATTTTATTTTATTTTGTTTTGTTTTGTTTTATTTTTTATTTTTTTTTAAACTTAATTTACCTTTGTTTTTCAATATGAACAAATGCAGGACATAGGTTTTTAATAAAGGTGACAACACTGCTGTTTCCCATGCACAGAATCCCAGATGAGGAGCAACAACTGCCTTGATGACCATGGCCTGTATTCTGAAAGGTCCACTGCATGGCTGTTGGTTTCAGTATCTCTGCAGATATTTTTTCTGTATTTAAAAGCACAAGAAAATTAAAAAACAACAACAACAACAACAAAACACTGTTGTAGTTAATTTAATTTCTAGTACTGTTTGAGAGGCTAGTAAGTAGAACTGAAATAGATGAAGAATTCAGCTTTTGACATACATTGTTTATAGTCATTCAGTCATTGCTTTTTTTTCTTTCTTTTTTTTTTTTTCCTTGTGAACTACATGACCCTTCTAGCTCCTCTGATGTCAAGAGAATTTTTTTAGGCATGAAGATTTTGAATGTTGTTAATAAAACTTTTCCTAATTTTCTCCAATAATAAAAGGGTTTCATCCCTTCGCTCTGTTGTTTTTTTTTTTTTAGTTTAGGAACCAAGCAAACACACTCTTTTGTGTGTGTGTGTGTGTGTGTGTGTGTGTGCAGGTGTTATTAATTACTTCATGATATTATACTAAGTGGCTGGTACAGTATGTGGTAAATGTCTTGGTAATAGGACATCTCGCTACTGTGTGCTGTTAATAAACCTCTTGCTGGGAAGTTGGAAGAGACCACTGTGGTTTCTTGATCACAAGGCTCTGGTCTGTAGATAATTGATGTGAAAATTAGCAAAGTTCTGTGGTACTTTACTTATTGTTTATATGGTGGAAATGTTCATTAATGTGCTGATTAAAGGCTGGTTGCAATTTAGATGCCATCAAATTTGTGATTTCTTTTCTTGAGGTTTAAAATCAGGTACGCTGACTCACTAGAAGATCATTTCCAGCTGCAGTATTAAAAGTGTCCATCAGTTGTGATGTTCACAACATTATTTTTTCAACTTCATTTGAAATATGTTTACGTATGATGAAAATATTTGGATACTTTTCAGTTTTAAAGTCAGACTTAATTACTATATGAAAAATTTTTATCTATTTGTACCACAGTAGTTTTTAGTAAAGCTTTTGGTGTAAAGATTTGGTAGTGTTTAGTTCTTCCATTTTCGCTGTGTTTGCTGATTGACCATGTAACATTGACAGCATTGCTGCCCTGACATCCTTTTGTTTTGTTTTGGGTTGGGTTGTTTCCACCTGGTAAATTGTGTTAGAAAACCTAGAATGCGAACTAAATAAGTAAATAGTTGGGTCTTGTTACTACTTCTGTAAGTGATGGCTGCAATTGCCACTGATGTGTTAAGTCTGTGGAAGCAAGACATGTTCTATGTGTAGGGTAAAATCACACGAAAGTCTATCAGTTTGCACATCACCTGGAGCTCACTGAATGCTAGGGAGGCAAAAACTGGTTCTTTGAGACTGATTATTAAGGTGTTGGTTGCTCTCGCTGATAAATATTCGATCATTTGTCTATTATTATTGAATTCACTGATACTGGAGATGTCTTTTTTTTCTTGTGTTTTCAGGAGAGGCATGGCTTCTACAGCTGTATTTGCATTCCCATATGAATTTTTTGTTGCTCTGTATCTAAGTCTGGTAATGTTATTATGTCTTATGTGACCAGTTTAGCTAATCAGATAGATTGTTTTATATATGCTGGTGTGGGGCTTGATCTGGCTTTCAGTATTGTTTATCCTACCAGCATTGTGTGCTTATTTATCATATGTTGTCTCCGCAGATGTTTTCTGTCTGTCATTGGTCATACATGCTAGATAAAGTATACCAAACAAAGTTGCAAATTATTCTCATGTACTAATTTGTTGTACATATAGCAAACATGTGCAGACTGGCTATTTGTTTATATATGCAGAAATTTCATCTGACCTAAGATGTACTTTTATGATTGCTAAATTTTTTTCTGTCTCTTCCCTTGTGCATGAGGTACTGTAAGGGGTGGGTGTTGATCTTAGTTTAGTGCTGCTTCTTGTATGTAACTAACAGAATTTAGAAGTCATTGTTGTAATATAGAGTTACAACATACAGAAATGTGTTGTCTGTTTCTTGCTTTGTTGGGAAAGCCATGACGTTTTTACAGGCAACTGTTCGGATGATTATAAATGGACTTGAGTGGGTCTGGCTTCATTTCAGCCTCTTTCTGGGGGTAGATTTTTGTCCTAGAGGTAAATAAGTAAAAGAAATATCAGATTGGAGGCAGGCAGTTATAAATTCTAAGGGAGGAAAAAGGCAAACTGAAGGATTGACAGGTTTATTCTTTGAATTTACTTTTTTTATTCTTTGAAGATTTGTAGTATTTGTGAGTCAATAAAATAAGCATTAGTTCTTAGGCAGTCACAGTACAATGCAGTCTAAAACCACAAGCAAAGGCATAATCCAGTCGGTGTTGACATCTTTTTCCATTATCAGCCAGAATTCACAGATAAGAGTATCAGGAAGAGAACATTGCAGGCAGAATGAAGTGAGTTTAAAAAAGGCCTTAAACATTCTCCATGTTTACCTTTCAGAATATTCATGGACTCTCCAGCCCGTGTTGTTTATTTTGGCTCAAGAAGTAGATGTTATGCATGATGTATGGTGGCAAACTGTTCTTATTTTCTCTGTAAGATTTTTATTTCTTATCTGTGATCATGGACTGCATTTTTTTTTAATAAGTGTTTTGACAGTAGTAGGGTTTCACTGTTGCAGTTGAGTTAGAATTTTCCTAACTTAATTAAAATAATTTTCCTTATTCCAGCTTTTCAGTGCAACTAAGCAATAATTTATGGATATTTGAAAAGGCAACAGGAATCTAATTTTCAAAGACATGTACATAACTTACTTGTAAGCATGCAGACTTTGATCTGTTCATGAAGCGACCATTAACTTTCATACAGATATCTAGATATATGCTATGCAAATTAGGGCTTCTGAATGATGTTAGTTGAATATAGGCAGTGTATGTGAACATGTCATTTTTCAAAAAAAGAAGCAGAATTTCATTTTGTAATACTGATTTAATTTATTCATGAACTTGAATGAAGTAAGCTTATAATACAAAGCTGGTTAGAAATACAAAGTGGTAGAACAATACCTAAGGAAAAGAAATGTTTCTTGACCATTCAGGTATTGATCCTGAACTCAATGCATTGTACACATTTGCCAAGTTATTCTCTGTGCCTGACTTGGCACATCTGCTTAAGTGTGGAGTACTGATCTAACAAGGGAGAATGGCAATATGGCTATTGGCTGTAGGTATTC